AATTATATTAATTTCAACGTGAACAACTCACTTTCACGGCCCGTCCACACTAATGTGAACTCTTCGTTTCAATGTCTACGTGTAAAATGCAGCGTTTTGCTCTTTGTGTAATGAGCATTCACCAGGAACAACAACAACAATGGCGGCTGTGCACCGGTTTCTCTACGTTTGGTTTGCGCTGCTCTGTCTTACTACAATTTTTGCAGCTACAGTTATTATCATCACTGCACCACATCACCGACATACACCCACATCTAGTTGGACTGCAGCGTCCCTCTCTGGTTTTTGACAAATTGGCCCCGGCATGTCGTCATTATTGTGTTTGACATATTTTGTGAAATGACGGGGAAAATATTTATTCGAAAAGTATACACAGTAGTACGTACAAGATCCTAGAGGTGTTTTCATAGTTTCTTTGAATGGTCAAAAAATATGATACCCTGCGAGTGCTGCTGATTTAAAAACAAGAAATCTGTTGAGGTTAATGTAGGAGAAGAGAGAGAGCGTTCACCTTGGGGCGAGTCCTGGGTGATGGCAGCTGCAGCAGCAGGAGGATTCAAAGCCCAGTGCAGGTTTCTCCTGAGCTCCTGCTGGTCCTCGGTGTGGACCAGTTCATACACACTCTGGTGCATGACGTCCGTCTGAGAAAAACAACGAGACGAAGGATTAGCCAATGACAAGGTGAAGAAAACTACAAACAGGAAGAACTAGTGCGGATATTCAGTTTGAAGCATGACTCATCATTGTGGACAATGTCACGGGGCTCCAAGTCCACGTGGCTCCAGTGTCCGTGAGACAGGTTTCCTAAAACCTTAGGCCCAAAAGCGAACGTGACTTTTGGATCTTTGTTAAAAGCCACAGATGCACAGCAGATCTGTCAGAGACGTGTTGCTCAGTGCAGTTCTGTGACGAGTGGTTTCAACTAAAGGCCAAGCTATAAATAGATCGGGTCTTTTTGCACTTGTCTCTTCAGGATGCAGGGAGTCGACCGATAGATCAGACGAGACCCCGGAGCTGCTCCCAGCAGATGCTGCACGCAAACCATCCATCCAGACCCGCTGTCCACTGCAAACACCGAGCCGCCACATGTCAACACATCAAGAGCTTCTGTGGATTTGCACCACTCTGTGGCCGGGACAATGTCTGGAGCTATGACTCTGCAGGGACGATGATGGACATGTGGCAAGTTCAAGCTTAAAGCCCCCGTCTCTTTATTATTGTCTGTCTCTATCCATCACATTTTGTTCTCTGGAGTCCAGGTGGGGATGGTGTCGATGTCGTACGAGCTCCGGACCCCTGAAGGTATTTCTACATCAGATTTCTGTGTCACCACTTTTCCTGTTATCATATTATTATTATTACTATTATTCTGGAGGTGACACGGACAAACAAAGACCGGTGGTAGTATGATACCTGGTGGAAGCCCAGGTAGTCCTGGATGGTGTGAGAGGAGTAGAAGATGGTTCCACCGGCGGTGATGACCAGGACGAAGCCGTTGAGAGCCTGTGGGTCAAACAAAGGAAGTTTAGAAGACGTCCATAAATCACATTGAGTCACTGATTTAAATCCAGTCATTCTGCGAGAGTCAAAGAACTAGTTGTAGTTTTCTCTGCCACTGATACAAGCCAGGAGCACGGCCACAGTGATGGTCGCCTGCATGAAGACAAGAGGTTAAAGGCTGCTCTCTCTGAGCACTGCTCGCTTCTTCAGGGCGAGCGGACGTTGACAGACCGGACAGCCCCGGGGCCGACTGTGCAAACTTCAGCAGAGCAACATGAGTGAACGCTGACAGAGAGACAGCTCTGGAAGGAACTGAAGTTTGATGCTGAACTTGATTGGTAAGTTAAGTAACATGAGCGACAACTGTAAAGAAATGCAGAACTGCATCGTGTGTAATGTAGTCAGTGATATTGTTGTGTATGAAAACGGTTTGCATTGTTTCCAGGAGATCGCCTGCTCTGTGCTTTGAAACGCTCAGATCTCCCATTCCCTCTGAACTACCCTCGACGTTTAACTTTGTCCAAAACAATTTGATCATAATTTAAAGTAAAGATGGGAGCTTGAAGATGTGTCATTTCTGATTTGGAGTTATATTTAACACAACATTTGTCACAGCTGCTGTTTATATCACAGCAACATGTTATTTTATTTAAGTGTGAAAAGCCTCCACCTCGGTTCTGTTGAGTTATTCAGTTATTTCAATTCTCCTATTTCTGTCATTTGAAAAAAGCTAGAGAGGAAAGGAAGGAAAATGAGGTTTGAGTGAAATGGAGCGCACTCATCGTTTCTCTTCAAAGAGGAACAGCTGGTCTAACGTTTCCTCCTCACTAAACACACGTGCCCTCCCCTGGTACGACAATATGTCGTAATAAGAAAAAACTGTACTCACAAACACACAAACACTCACACAAGCACAGTCATCTGTTCGTAAACCAGTGATGAGCATTTTACTGCATTTCCATTTCTATGTCAGGCACTTCTAAAGTTTATAAAACTCAAGAAACAAGATGTTGCTGCTGGATATGACAAGAAACCAGGTAGGATTGACCTTCAAGCTTCAAATGATTTGCTGCCCTCAACAGGAGCGACGGTTTCAAACTGTTGCCGTGAGAAATATATAAATAAACAGTTTGTGTTGTCGGAGCAGCACAATTAACCACGTTTCCTCCATTTTTTCAGTCTGAATAATTGATCTGCTCACAGCTCGTCTATAATTCACGTGTCTGATGTGAAGAAACCGGCTCAGACTTCAGGATCAGAAATAAACCTTCGCATTCTTCTGCCTGTGAACCGCTCGCTGGCTGTCCGTCCGTCTCCCCTTTCATCCCGAGGACGAAAAGGAGGAGGAGGAGGAGGAGGAGGAGGAGGAGGAGGAGGCCCCCTGTGGAACATGCTCCTCCCGACTGTGGCTCCAAATGAGCTTTCATTTCTCATTACTAACAAGCCGGGGAAATGAAGGCTTATCATAATAACGAAACCTCCCCGGTCGGGTCGGGGGATGGCGGGCAGGCTGTTTCCTCTCCTCCCCTGGAATGCCAGTGTGATGCACATTGGGAGGAACTGGACTGGAAAATCAATGACTCCAGCAGATCCCAAAAAGATCTGGCAGCGAGCTCGCTCTCTACTCAATCACACATACAGTACGCAGAGATCACCCCCTCCCCCTCCCCCTCATTTTCACTGGAATGGAAAACAGGTCTATTGATCGCCTTCTCTTAAAAAGCTGCACAGTGACCTGGAATTCCTGTAAAATGTCCTGACAAAGAAACATGTTAGTTTAAGATTTACAGTTCTGTCATATTATTTATAAAGCATGGGGGCGGAGCATCACTCCCACACGTGATCGCTGAACGTCTCAATCCAAAACCTTCGGAACAACATAAACATCTTCTGTTGGTGAACGGTCTGTATTTATGTTTCCTGGTTCTCTCATCTACAGGCAGCTCTTCTTCTACGACAAGACATTTGAGGTTCAGTGTCTTGCACCCAGAATGAGGAGGACTGGTATCGAACCGCCGACCTTCTCGCAGTAGATTCTGAAACTTGGCTGCAGAGCTTCCATTCAGAGCAACAGCGAGCTCCTGGCACTGGCTCACAGCTTGAGCTCCAATTCATCCCAAACGTGTGGGATGGAGTTGAGGTCGGTTCTGTGCAGAGCAGTTCTTCAAAACCAAAGTGGGAAAATAATTGGGGGGTTTGTGACCTTTACCGCAGCCAGCCACAAGGGGGCAACAGACACACTTTGGCTTCACTTTTGGGGAGCGGTCATGTCGCTAGTTAAGTTTCAAAACTGTTGGAACCAATTAAATCCAGCGTGTTAAAGAAACCTAATGTGCTTTCTTCCACACAAATACACGATACCCTCCACGTGTCTGTTGATGCGAATGTGACGCGAGTGTTAGCTTAAACTTTTAAAACAACATCAGATATAAAAACAATAAAATCACATCCATCAACATTCATTCACTTGTGGTCACAAAAGACAACACACAGCTGCAGAGGACGTCCAGTTTGACCCGGACTGAAAGCACCTGCACCGACAGATGAAATGTCCAAAACTACAGGAGACTCGAGGAACAACGAGCAGATCGATCCACATTCACGAGGTTTTTTCAGAAGTTTGGATCCTGAGTCGTATTAAGTTGCAGGCACGAGCTTCATCCACCAGCTGCAGACGTGTTTGACGTGTTGAGTGGTAAGCTGCCCTAAATAGATTTTTGCCACTTGTGAGGATGAAAACAGAAAAAAAAAAACACAAACAGAAAACACAATCCAGACACACAAATTCAATCAGAGCAGTTGCTCGTCACTTTCCAGTTGTGTGGCTGTTGTGTTAAATAAATACTGAACCAAAAAGATAAAAACAGATAATAAATAAGAATAAACACTGACCTGCAGCAACAGTTCTCCTTCTGGGATCTTGGTCTCCGCCACTGCTGCTGTTTTGCTGTCGTCATCATTCACACCAGCTGGAGTCGCTCCGTTACGACTGTTCAGGGTGACTGTGGAGAGGGGGGGGAGACAGGGGGAGGTGGGGGGAGGAAGACGGGCTTTAGTCCTGTGATAATGTTTGCAAAGCACTGCTGGGACTGTCAGTTTGTCTTATGCTTCGTACGATGCTGGGTGCACGCTCACTCCCAGCTCGTTAAACATTCATAACGTCAAAATATAAAAGTCTGACTTCACATAAATCAGCCACTTTATTTTGCCTAATGTATTTATAGCAAAGTTATTATGACCTCAGCACTTCAGTGATAAAATTATTAGTGAAAACAAAATCTTATTTTTGTTATTTCAGATTCTGAGGTGGAGACCTGCAGCTGCAGTTATAGTTACATTACACTAGTTATATCTTTAACATTCCACACACACTGGATCTATTTATTATATTATAGGAGATTTCATTACTACAAATTAATAAATATATGTTTTAGTTTTGTGCTTTAAAGACCCTGAGTCTTCGACAACAATTAATAATTCAGGACTTTTACTAATTTAATCAAATTGGCTCATAAACATGATTTTTAATTAATGATGTTGATCTTGTTTCTAAATGATTCACTCAAAGACTCACAGCTGAGAAATACAGTTGGATTTCATCTGTTATTAAAATAATTTAAGTTCTAATGGTGATTGATTTGACTCACTTCCTGTTGACGTGTCAGTCTGAACTTTGTAATTTGTGTTTTAAAAGCTGCTCCCTCATAATATAGAGCAGCAATAACCAAGTTCATCATGGTTAATTAAACATGAGGTATTAACAAGCAATGATTTACACTGTGTTTGCATCATCCTCGGCTCCACCCCCCTCCTCTCCGGCCTCTACCCCCTGGTCCCTCCCCCCACTCTGCCGTCATTGGCCGGTGGCTCCAGCTGTTCTCGTCCGAACGGGATTCTCATTGTTTCCCTCCGTGACGTCACAGCTGCTCAGGGCTCAGTGTGGAGGCTGATGGTTTAGATCAGAGGAGGAACTTCTGTCGGGCAGTAAACTGAACGTGTTGCATTCAGGGGGTGAAGAGACACTGATGAACCAGAGGCCTCGTCCACACTATTAACCTGTGGACAGGTCTGAGTTCAGGTGTGAACGCACTCAGATCAGACAGACCACAGTCGGAGGTTGTCTGGGCCAAAAAATGAAGGACGTCCTCTGAGCCGCTGCAGTTTCACTATGAATCAAACCACCGCTTCAACATCAACACTGATCGCCACATGACCATCGACTCACACTGGGTAAAAACAACGTGACCCGGTCTTCATGAACAGAAACGACGCACGTGTTTGTTTGTAAAGAGCGAGGAGGTGCGGTCTGGTCATGAGACACACGTGAGGCCACATGTTTTAACGCCACGTGTGGGCGGGGCCAGAGATTTTGTCGATTAAGCCCTGAATAGAAAATGAGCATCGAAGAATTCCAGGAGATTTGAGTGTAAACACAATTTTCAAACATTAACACACGATAGAAATTAAAACGACTTAAAGGTCCTGAACATTATAACCAGGATTTCTGCACGATGACGGACGACGAGTCCCAGAATTACTGATGAAGTTTCTGGGCAGAGAAAAAACCTGAAAACATCTCGTTACCTCTCAAACCACCGACAGAGACAGTGTCAGAATCTTTTCCTCCGACAAACCCAGTGAACTGATCAGTTCTGTGTTTGTGGACGATCAGTTATCGGCTCCTCGTCTGTGTTTTTCGTAGTTTTTGTTACGGTGTGTTAATATATGTATCACTGAGAAAGAACTACAACACACACACTTTGCCAACAATGACTGACGCCAAGGTGTTTCTCTAAAGTGCAGCGGAAGTAGCGTTAAACGGTCACGAGCATTAAATGACTCTTTAAGGTCCTCATCCTTGTGTTATTGCGATCCTCTCGTTTCATTGCACATATGTTAATATTGATCTTCAGATTCTTACAAGCGATTTATCTTAAACCTTTTGTAACTGGGTCTGAGATATTCAGTCTCATGACTCAGGTCTTATCGTGCAAATCATTTCTGAAGGACACAGACTTCTCTTTAAATGTTAAACCAGATCTTCACAACCTTGGTAAAGATCTCAGGTGTTTAATTGGATTGAATGCACTTTAATGTATTTTTCTTCGTCCTTTAACAGATTACTGATAGACAGAAGACTTTGTCCACGTGTTCTTCTCTCCTGGCGTTAACGAATCCTTTACTTGTTTGTTTTTCTACAAAGTCTGGATCCTGTTCCAAGAACCAGGCTTACGTAGTTATCTGGACTTTACTGAGAAACTCTGTCACTTTGCGTTTTTTGCCAACCCAGTGCATTTCGTACTTTTCTTAATGTTACAAAGTGCTTTACAGCAAAAAAAAGTAAAACCAGACAAGACATTTTACTGAAGGGACTTTAACCACAAACCAGATAAAGCAGCAAATGTCGTACTTCATATCCTCTAAACAACGTTCATCACCACAACGTTAAAAAAACACAAAGTCTAGCGACAGGGTTGATTTGATGAGAGGCCAAAAAAGTATCCGAGCTGGTTTGTTATTCAGCAGGATTACGTTAAAACTACTTGACGGATACAACGACTCATCAGCCGATAATAAAATACTAATGTTATCATCACCGTGTGTTGTTTCTACGATGTGAGGCGATGAGCTGCGGTGATGTCATGAGAAAGAGAGCAGTGGTCAAGCGCATTAATCTCTGACCCCGGCAGAACCGCGGTGCTCTGACCCGCGGTGACCTCTGACCCTGGAGGTGATGGATGACATGATTGGGTGACTGGGTTCTGGGTCAGATCTTTTGTTGTCTGCAATGCGGGTTAACAAGGAGTCCATCGGAGGGGCGGGGCCGTGTCAGGGGTGTCGGCGCAGACACTGGATAGCATACGGGCTTTGTGCGGCGAGTCCGACGTGGCTCGTACCTTCACACGAGACGCAGCTTTGGTCGGACACCCCTGACCTTATTCCCATACAGACGTCTCGGATCGACTTTTGGAGAGGCCCTTGAGAGCCGAGTGTGACATAATCCAACGCGCTGGCGAGGAGATGGCGTGGCGGTGCGTCGCATATGTCAGACACGCAAGAGTGTGGCGTTCTTGACCCACAAAAAACATCCAGGTGCTACTGGAGCCGAGAAAAAACATAACGTGTGAATAACGAGGGTGAACTCACGGTCCTTATATTAACCAAACGTTCCTGGTCCAGGTTTGGATCCTTTGTTTCGTGTCACCTCCTTTGTCTCCACGATTAACTCGCGAAGATTTAAACACAAAAATCCTCGTGGAGAAACAATTAGTCGAATACTTGTGAAACTAATCAAATATTATCAATTATTGCTATTGCTTTTTGGTAAATATCTCTTTATCATTTATTTTTCTCCAATTTCAATATTTTCTTAGGTTTATAAATTGCGTCTGGTTAAAACTGCAACAACAACAACAACAACAACAACAACAAGTCAGTCTCTGGGATTTTTAGATCAACGGCACAAAAGCACTTTTCATCCTGTGATCACAATAACATCTTTGCATGTTGATCAAGTAATCACTGTTTCCTGATCGCGAGAAAACTGGGTTGCAATATTACGATTGCATTAAAAGTATTGCACCATGCAAGTGTCTCTGCAGTGGACACTTTTGGATCAACACCGTCATGGTGAGGACATGTTGGGCTGTTTGAGGGTTAGAATTAGGTTAAGGTAAGAGTAGAGAGACAAGAGTGTGTTTCCACATCAGACACCACAGGTACACAGCGGCAGCGGTAGCGGCGGCAGCAGCAGCAGCTTCAGTAGCATAATCCAGCCTGAAAAAGTGGGCCAACACAAAGCCTCTCGAACGGCCAGAGGAGGACAAAGAGCAGATCTTGTTATCAAGCTTCAGTGGGCACATAATGAAGAATTTACGTTCCCACTGCATCACATACATGTGCCATAATAGAGCTGCAGCAATCACCCGCAGGCGTTCCCAGCAAACTGAACAGAACAGCTCGGCTCACCCAGATACGCTCTTGTTGGCTTAATGGAGCTCTGAAGTTACAGGACAACAAACATTATAAACACCCGCACACCACAGAACATGATCAGACAGCTCAGTGATCTCTCCTTCATTCTGCGTAATCAATTCTCTGTTTCTAAAGAATCAAACGTATTGATCTTAGTTGTATTATAGTATTGTATCCTTACGAATCACTGAACTGTACAGCGACATGTCTCAGACTTCATCTTTAATAACTAAAGCTGCACCCAATCAAACACACTCACAGATACCAGCCTCCTGAATGTGCCTGGAAATCCACTGACTGAAACGTCCTCTGTTCCAACAACAGTAAACCTCGGAGAGCGACCCTCAAACGAAGCGACTTGTTCTTCAGTATTTTGTTTTAGAGAAATCAAAATACTTGATTCTGCTGCGATCGTGCTCCAGAGCTGCAGTACAGTGATGCATTATGGACCTTTACAATCGTGGTCGGTAAACTTCCTTTCGCTGGGCCCCGAGCCCGAGCTCAGCAAACGTGTCCGCTGCAGTATTTGATTAATCAAACCTGACAAACAAGCAGCGACCCTGAAAATCACAGTTTGTCAAACTTCAGACATTTTTAGAGGCTGAATGTTTCTTATGTTTCTCTGTTTTATTTCTGTTTCTGAGCGTAAAGAGTCAAGAAGTTCACTTGAGTTTAAAAGACTGAATAAATGATTTTCCTCTGAAGATGTCGAGCAGAGCCAGGAGGACTTTGACTGATGCTTTACATCTAACATGACATTTATGGGGAGGTAATAAAGTAAATACTTTCTGATGCAGTATTTCAGAGTACTCTGGATGGACAGTCATGCACCTCTCTGTGTGAGCATTTAGAACAGCCCATCAAAACTGAACCATGAGGTAAACAGAAACAATATCATCATCATATTTTAGATTAAGTTCCTAATGAGGGAATTGTGGTTTTGCATTGATTTGAAGAACTGATCCAAACGTCTTTTATATTTTGATTTTGATTTCTCTAATGACTTCAGAAGATGGTGATAGCTAAT